TAAAATCCCCCCACCCCCACCTCCACAGTTGCCACCTCCACTTCCAGTACCACCTCCATCCCCTCCCCTCTTGCCACCACATCCTCAGCCTCCACCCCCAGTTTCTCTTTCTTCTTCTTCATCTTCCCTTAGCACCCAGCACCTCTCCCCTGCCAAACATTCCAAATCCCCTGCCAAACAGCCAGCTGTACCACCCCCGGCCCCCGTGCCAGAGCCTCCTCCCCCCAGGGAGCTGAAAGGCATTCTTAAAAACATCCCCAATTTAGCCGCCATTGAAAAGTCTGTGGCCAACATGTACAGCCAAATAGACAAAAACCACATTCTGCCCAAGCACGTTGCTAAGCTCAAACCAGCTGCAACACCAGAGCTGCCAACCCCAGAAGCTGGGGCTGAGCACAACCAGCAGAACGGCAGCCTGAGCTGTGTTGTTGTGGAGGAGTTGGAGAAACGCTTCCCGTCTCAGTCGACAGCGCTGTGATAGTGACAGCTGGATGTTCTCTGCTTGTAACGTTCTGAGCGAGGTGGCTCTAATGCAGCACATGATATCTGCCTCAGACTCTAGAAATTCAGACTTTCTCCCTTTCTCTGCACTACTCATTCAGTCCTAACCTCAAAATTGAGAGATGTTGTCTTTCCTGGTCATTCAGCAATTTGTAATGTGTAATAATTCAACTAGTTGTTCTCTCAGAGCTACATCTTCTTGTTCCATGATGCTTGTCCTTAGTGTGGTTACCAGAAACCCTTGGGGAAAACTGTCCATTTTTACCCAAGGATCTGTCCTAGCCAGCAGAGGGCTTGATACCGCTTTATGTTAAGCAGCCTTCTCTGTAGGTGATATCAGTAAGCAGAGTGATTTTTCTGCAGCTGTAACTGGAACCTCTTGCTTTGGCCATAAAATGTCCCCCCTGGGAGGAACCTTAGTGGCCAGTGTTGGATGTCAGAGGAAGCAAGAACCAGTAGTGAGCAGACTGAGCAGCCACCAGCCTGTCGTGTTCCCAGGAGATGAGGCAGAGCTCTGCCATGCTTCCCCTCACCTCACCTCACCTCTGCATCTCTGAGTCAGAAGGGTTTTCACTTGCTTTGTCACTGAACCTGGCTGTCTTCCCTCCTCTCACCTATGTTCTGCCTTCCATTGTGTTTTTTTTATATTGTCACTGCATGGTAAAAGTTTTTATTTTGTCAATTTCTTCAATGTACCAAGTGTTTATTTGTTTTTTTTTTTATTTGGCATGTGCACCTTTTGTGTCTCTCTGTCGAATTTCCATGCTAGTTTGCCATGATCTTTACAGCTGAAACATCTCATTTATCCTAAATTGTAATAAAGTCACTCTGATCAGTGTCATCAAGTGAAGATTTTTCAAGTACTTGTAAAAATCCATGCAATGTGGATTTACTTACTGGCTTTTTTGCTCATAGTCATCTAAAGCAGACTTTTATACTAAATATGTCAATGATAATAAATTAGCTTGTCCTTTGCAAGCAATGGTAAGTAAATGCAATTATGGCATTTCAAGGAATGTAAGTTTGGTTCAACTGGCAAGTTTCCCTTTAGTCTCTTGCCAAAACTCAAAGTATCTTTCTTAGTAGGAGCATTTAAAAAAATCTCTTGGGAAGGGCAGATACTTCCCAATCAGGAAAAACTAAAGCCACAGTTTCGTATCAAATGAGGTAATTCTGAGCAAAAAGGTAATGAATGATCAGACTGTTTTGTCAGCATTTCCATGGTGCTTGGCTTTTTCTCTTTTCTCCTTTTTGTTTGTTTTTTATATCTGCAGTTAGGACATTACGGATGCGTCAGCTGGAGACTGGTGAAGGTAGTTTCTCTTTCTTTGTCCCAGAGTCAAACTCCAAATCCATCACACATGTTTTGCTGATGCATTAGAATTTTTCCTCACTGAAAGCTCCTGGTGGGCTCGCTTGTAGCTCCTAGAAGTAGCTACATGTGTGAGGGGAAGGAGGATCAATCAGAGAAGGTTTGCAGTGAAGGAATCTGTACCATTTAGGAGATGCACACATGTAGGACACCTGCTGATGATGCTGGGGTTTCCCAGAATGGCACTGCTGCAGCACCAGCAGCAAACTGTCAGTCAGCAGCTATTAGGTAGAGAAACTTTGAAGAGTTAAAGAGCCAGTATCAGAAGATTACTTACAGAAGATGACTGTACTTGCTTCTGTGTGTCTGCCATGGTCCACACCTGGAGACCCCAGGATGGTGGAAAGTGCCTAGTGATGAGCATGAGAAATTACTGAGCATGTTCAGAGTGGATCAACCCTGAAGACAGAGATTTGAATTCAAATACCCAAATCCCACTTTAGAGCTTGCAGACCCATAACAGGTGATTTTGTGAAGTTAATTACATCAGTAAAGACATATTAGACAAATAAGACCTCATTTTGCAGTGTGTTGTGTCATGCAAAGCTGCAGATGTTTAGTAATTACAGCATAAAGTCCGAAGACTTTATTTGGCTGCAGTTATTTGTGTCTTTCCTTAAGCAGAAAGAACTGACACCACACAGGAACTTCTTTTTAAATATTTAGTTTCATCAGTCTCAAAGAGTCTGGGGGGCTCATGGTAATCAGCTCTTTGCTAATGAGGAACACCTACTTCCTCATTCTGGAAACTTTTGAGTTGGAATGTTGACAAAACCTAGTTTCATTTTGTCTGGAATGAATGCAACCTTTGTTCTCCTCCTGTTTTGTTCAAAGAGCCTTTGTTAAAAAAAAAGTCATTGTATTAGGCTACAACAGCACCAGTAGCCTGAATTTTTAACCTAACTGACTATAAGTCTGTCCCATTGAGATGTCTGGAGGCTGCTGCTCTTCTGCATCATGTAATGCTGTGAAGTATTACATCCACGTTACGAAGAAATTGAGCATCTATAAGCAGCTTACTGACCTCTATTCAGGCTGTTTGATGTGGTTAGTTAGGGTCAGATGTGACCCTGGGTGTATCTCTTACCCTTTCATCTTCAGCCTGACAGCTGAGCAGGAGCAGAGCTCCATCAGGGGTGAGCAGTTCTTGTTGCAGAGCTGACACTGAGCAGTAGTAGTGATGGTTGGACTGGAGGATCTTAAAGGTCTTTTCCAACTAGAACAATTATGCGATTACTCAGCTGCTTTCCAGATTCTTTCTCCTCAGTTCCAGCTTTGAGCTTCAGGAAGCCTTTATTTGCAGAGTCAGGTCAAAGTGATGAGCAGTGGCCTCCTCTGAGTAGGATCTGTAGTGTCTGGGGTTCCTGATGATTTGCTTTTGAGGTGAAAAAGCCTGCTGGGCTGTCAGCAATGGGGAAACCTGTTGCTTTAGGCCAATCACAGTTCCTTGAGCCTGTGTTAGCAATGCCAGCCTGAGAAAGGTCAGCACGTTGTGTCCACATAAATTCATTCTTGTTTTGTCTCTCACATCAAGTAGCAGCAGCAAACACATCATCACAGGCACTATGGCCTTGCTTCCCCTTCTGCACTGAAGATTTCTCTCTGACTGCCTGCAGTGAAGTCTGGCTGATAATGTGTATCCAGAAGCAGTTCCTCCCTCCCTGGAGAGCTTTAATTCCTTCGTGGAGACAAATGATGTTGTTTAGACCTTTGGTTATTTGTCAGAATAGATCCTTGTGCTGTATTGAGTGAATGGGTCTTTTGTCTTTTGGGGGCTTTTCTTTTTTGCTAATCATGGCCACACAAAACTATCAGAGAAGTATAAGCATCTCTCAAAACACAGAGTGGTGCTAATTTGAAGAAATATGAATTCCAAATTACTTGTGTTATCTTTTAAATCTGCAATCTAGTGACTACTCAAGAGCAATTAAGAGTAAGAGGCTTATACACCTTCTATGCAACACAAAGTCTTCTTTATCTGATTGTTGTAGGTGCCATGGAAACTAAACACAGTGCTCCTCAAGTGGGCTTTGAGAAGACCCTGATCATCTTTGGATGATAAATCTTCATTTCAGTTGTTCTTTAGTTTTATATTATATCAGCAACAGCATTGATTTAATGCTGATAATCAATTCCATGTGCTGAATGTTAATAGAAAAGGACTTTCTACTCTATGTTATTTACTCAAGCATAATTAAAAGTTTCACTAGACTGCTGTTTTTGTACTAGGTTAAGTTCAACATCATTCAAGCATTTGCCCTTAAAAAAAAACCAAACCAAAACAAAAAATTAAAAAAGTCCAGACGTATCCTTAATAATAATGCAAATACCTAAATTGCTGTTCCCTAGTTTTGTTTAGACCATTTTTCTGGCACAAAATGTGAAAAGAGAAAACTTGATAGATATAAATGCATTTGTCATGTACTTATGGCTCCAAGAAAATTAATTGAAACAACAAACAATTTCCCATTAGTTCAGAAGCACAAAGCCTGTGGCAAAGTAATCATAGATAGCAAACATCATTTTAACTCCTCCCTGCAGAGGAAATGGTAGGAAATGTGCAATATTATTAAGAACATTGTTAAATAAAATTAGTAATAGAACCTCCAAGCCAATTTCTAACAAGTCCTGAGTGGTCATGGAAAGTCCAGAAGTAGAAGAGAAACAGTTTCATGGCTTAAGCAGATGTGTGAAGTAACAGCCTCTTTGCAGATGGTCTCTGTAGGTCTCTGAGCCAACAGAGAAGGTGACTGGGCTGGACCTCTCAGGAGAAGGCAAGGAAAACTGAATACACACTCTGCTTCTCTCCCTTTGCTGAGTCCCACTGGGTGCACTGGCTCTCTGGCTTGTGGGGATTGGGGATTTCTTCTCATTCATTTGCAACCTAAAGCAAAAAAAGATCCCACAGATTGACTAGCCTTACTCATGCAATGAATCGTATGCCCAGAGCAAGTCTGAAGAAAAACATATTGTGCTTTGTAGATATGTATTTCTTTGCTTGCTAGTAGTATTTCTAATCCCATTCTCTTTTCACCTCTCTCCAGAAAGAATGGCAATGTGCATCCTTGTGTAGTCTCAGAGAAGTGTACTAATTTCTATCTTTTTTCTCTCTTTTTCTGACTCACAGGCGAGGATACGCACAGCAAGAGGTAAGGCTTTTGCATTTAAGGTATGAATTACATCAACATACTCTTCCCATGCTGCTTGTTTTGGGAAATCCATGGCTACTGGATGTTTTAAAGGCCAGAAACAGAAAGTGGTTCAAAAAACTCAGAAGGCATAGAATTCCTAGGGAATGGTGACTACCATGCCACCAAATTAAACTCCAGGCTAGGAGGTTGCTTGACAAACTTCCAAAAACAGTTTCCCAGGGAATTCCTTCTGTGCTTGTGTTTTCTAATGACATTGCTTAATCATCTGCTGCTGTTCACTGCTGTGGGCCTGGGCTACACAGCCCTTCCTGCAGTGTAGCCTCTTCCTGCAGCATCTTTTTTCTCCAGCAATGAGTAGCACGAGGAGTTTCCTTCAGAAAGCTGATCCATTTAATAATTGGAAAGATTTCCAAAATACCTTCAGTCATCAAGGCTGATGCTGCTGAGAGCTGGGTCAGTTTTACTCATCTTAAGATGTGCCTCTGGAGCCTACTGCTCCCTATTCAGTAGTGTTTCTAAATTGAAAGCTTTCTTCTGGGATTGTTCTTCCCTTTGCAGACCTGATTTGTCTCTCTTAATTCAGGCATAGAACTTCCCCATCTCTCAGTGTTTGGTTTTGGCCAAGAAACTTGACCAGTGTCACCAGCTTTTAGGAGGAGTGTGGAGAGAATGGCACTGATTTTCCTGAGTAAATCTGAGCCTAATTTTCAAAACAGCAAGTGAAGTATTGCAGTAGAAGCTTGTGTAAGAAATCAAGTTATTTCAGGTTTTTAATAACCGAATCACAGACTTCACTACAGATCACTACAGATTCACTTTCTACCTGTTTTGTCTGCCACTGTCTCCACCACAGACCACACAATAGCTCTCTGGGCTCTCACAGAAGTTCTTGAATTCAATAAATAATTTAGAGAATCAACACAGAAACTGAGAATTTGATTTCATATTAGGCAAAAGAAATAGTGGACTGTAAAGTGATTTTAGTACATTAGGTGCTTAGCAGTGTCCTGCTTCTCACTGAGTGTGGGAGTAGCCAGGTGACTGCTCTACAAAAGGCTCTCCAGCACCTGTGTTTTTAGGACTCCTTGTCAACCTTATTTCAAACACAAATGACCTGCCCTTTAATTGTTGCTGCCTCATTAACCCCTTTCTAATTTTCTTTTGTAGCAACAACAGTTGCTGAGACCTTCTCTTCTCAGACCAGAGGTAGCACTATTTTTGGTTTCTTAAATAGTCTATAACTTCATTGATGGCTTATATATAATTTCCTAATAAAAAACTTAGTCATAGCTAACTTCTTCCCCCCGACTCCTTAAGATGAAAAGTCAAGTCCTAAAATAATTACCCCATTTATGTTGTTAGAATTAAATGCCTGAAATTTGCTGTATCTTGGTATTTTCCCCTTGAGCATCTTTCTTTTGCTGCCATGGACTTCATCACACAGCCTGAAAGCTTCATGTCCAGACCCCCAGACAGAAAGATTTCCCTGCTGCCCAACCACAATCTATTTTTTTTCAGCTGTCAATTGGCTGATAATTGATTATTGCACCTAGAGATGAACTGAGCAGTCAGCCTGCCAAGGTCATGGAACCACTTGCACACTGCCAAGGCAGCTCTGGATTATCAGCCAAGTACTTTCTGCTGCAAATCTTTTAGAGCCAATGACATTTCCAGAATAAGCAGTAGGGCAAATTTTCTGAGATGTGGCTCCTGATGGTACAGAATGGTGATTGTTTCTGCAGTCATTAGAAGTCACTACAATGAGATGCTCTGACACAGCTTCACTGGACAGGAGAAGAACCTCTAGGAAGCTGTGAGACAAAGATGATGTGAAGTCCTTTGCCAAAACCCAAGCCCTGCTGCTCTGCATCGATTTCAGTAGTTCCCCCAGAGTAGCCTAACCCCAGTGTGTGAGAGGAGTTAAGAGCACTCTGGCACTTTTGTGGGACACAGATCAGTACTTCACTTAGTGCAAGGCTGCTCATGATTGTTGATGGTTGAGAAAACAGAAAGAAACAGACCTGGAAAACGGTGTGAGTAAAATAGCCCTGCCCTTTCAATGCAGCATTTTCCTTTGAGAGAAAGACAAGAAGTGACAGGGTATTTGCTGGGGGTCCAGGTTACTGAGACAGTCCCCACCCCAGAGCAGTGTCTGTATTGAGCTGCTTTTAGAAGAGTCACTCCCAAGGAACACACCAGGGAAGCATGTTGGCTTCACATTGTGATTCTTGACCATTGTCAGTGTTCCTCAAATTATGAGCATTTTTTATTTTGCTTGTTTGCATTTTGAGATACTGTTCTTTGTGCTTCTTTAATCACTCATTGCTGTGTATAATGTTTGCATTCAGTCAGTGTTTCTCTTTTGACAGGAGTTAAGTATGGAGTCTGGGATTGATCCAGGGCAGGAATACTATGGGCAAGATTACTACAGTTATGAGCATGGGTATATTTTCTTTTTCCTATATGTTTCTGAAAATGCTGCTTTTCCAGATTGATGATGTTTAATATCACAGCACCTAATCTGGAGACTTTGCTTCGTCTCCAGGTTACTTGCATTTTTATCAGCCCATGAAGGCATGGGCTGATAACAAAACTCTCTTAAAGGCTAAAGAGGTGTTGTAGAATTCCAGCTCACCAGCCTGAGCTCAGGGACTGATGCTCCCTGCTCAGATTCCAGCCAGTGTCTGGAAAAACATCACCCTGCCTTGTTCTGGTAATGCCCCTCTGGCTGCAGGCACTTCAGGGGTTACTGCTGTTCTTATAAACTTGCAGGGATTCTCCAGAACTGATCCCAAGGAACTTGCTTTTCCATCCCCTAATTAAAAAAAAAAAAAAAAGATCCCCCAAAAAGAACCTGGGAAAAAGTACCTGGAAAGAAGGTCTTTGCACTTCTAGGGGATTTTTGGCTGATCCCAGAGCCCTGGCAATTTGGGTTGCCCTCCAGCTGCAACAGGCTTAGCAAGAGGTTTTACATGTGGTACTGCTAAGCAAAAAAAGCAACTGTAATCTTCTCAAATGTAGAGAGAAGAGAGCAAAGACATTATTGTCCTTTGGGGAGGGGGGTGTGTGCATTTGTTGCTGTGTGGAGACACAGGTGGTGAGGAGATGCTGGTGTTTCTTGGCAGGTATGAGCTGCCCCAGTATGGGAGCCGCCGCCGGCTGCTGTCCCCGGCCGGCATGTACGACGAGTACGGGGAGGTCATGGTGGAGAGTGATGGTGGCTACTACTACAGCCCACAGGGAACCACAGCAGAAGAGGTAAGTGGCTCTGGTGGGCTGAGTCTGTCTCTGCAACAAGGTGAAGGGCTGTGAAACGTTTGCTCTCTGCAACTACCTGAAAGGAGTTGTAGCGTGGTGGATGTTGACCGGCAATAGGACAAGAGGAGATGGGGTCAAGTTGTGCTCGGGGAGGTTCAGATTGGATATTAAGAAAAAATTCTTCACAGGAAGAGTGGGGAGGCCTTGGAACAGGCTGCCCAAGGAGGTGGGGGAGGCACCAACCCTGGAGGTGTTCAAAAAGCCATGTAGATGTGGTGTTTGGAGATGGTTTAGTGGTTGGGGGTTGTAGGGACGGTTGGACTTGATCTCGAAGGTCTTTTCCAACCTTGATGATTCTGTGATTGTATAATTTTAAACCCTGTCAAATGTATTTTGTAATTGATGTGGATATTGTGTCCTATACAGACCAAGTAAGCAGCTCCTCCAGTGCTAATCATTGTTTGCCCTTCTGATGACTGGTAAAGTTTTTGTCAGCACCTCTTTCCCAAAACCCTTTTCCAGAAATCAAAAGGAATTGCAAAGTTTCTTTTAATATCCCCATCTGTTTTTCTTTCAGTGTAGACTTATAGTTCAAAGAAAAACCCACATTGCCTTAGGTAATTCCATTTTGTTTTGTTACCCTAATGGGTTATTACTAATATTCAGCCTGTAACTGGTGATTTTCCACTGAGAAAAGCAGTCACCTCAACTCATTTATCACAGAGTTCACAACTGAATGTACAGGAGTTTTAAACTGTCAGTGGCAGGCAGAAGAATGTTCACTTAAATGGTCCTTTTTTCTTTTTTTTTTTTCTAAATCTAATTTTCAGAAATACTAGACTCTTAATCCATCACAGGGGTTTTAATTGAATGAGAAGAAACAACATTTCTAAGCCAGTATTTTCCCCTGTTGCAGAGTAAGGTAGTTGGGCACTTGCAGCCTGTTCTAGAAGTAAATCTGTCCTGATAACTTTGCTAAAAAAGCTGTTCTGAGACAGGTAAGTTGGTTTTGGGGCTGGGAAAAATGTTGTGTTTGGGCCTGATGACTTATTTTAGGGTACAAGTTTTCACATTAACTACCTTTCAAATTGTAATCAAGTTCAATTTTCGTAATTTGCAGGGGATGATTCAAGGCAGAGTTCCTTCAAGCGGAGGTATAAGCCAGAGAGCAGGGGCTCAAGTAGAAGGTAGACCTTTAGGTGGTGGGATGGATCTCAGACATGTTTCTGGAAGAGCATATAGGACCAGCCAGGGGAAAAGGAAACTGAGAGGAGTGATGCATTTAAGTCGTGTGGCAGTCAGTGCTCACAAACCAGTAGGAAGAACTGAGTCTGCTCGTTCTCCATGGAAGAAAGCAAAGATATTCCCAATGATTCTGCAGAAAGTGAAAGCTGGTAGGAAAGATTCCAGTTATGCCAAGTTGCTGTCAGCTCGCCAAGTGGATGGTGAGAAAAGCATGATGATCAGGGGAAGTTACTTCCAGAAACCGACTGATGAGAGACCTTCCATGAGAAAACTGAATCATGTGTTGAAACGTATTAGTGTCTCCAAGAAATTTCAGGAGCCTGTTGGCACAGATTTAGTGCAAGCAAGAGGAAAAGAGGAGGAGGAATATGAAAGAGATGAAGAAAAATCAGGAGTTTCAATAAGTATCACGGCAGAAAGTGAACCTGAGGAGAGTGATTATGAGAAGAAAAAGAGGAGAAGGAAACACACCTCAGATGAATCGTCTGTGAAGAGCAGTAGCTCCAGCTCAGATTCAGAAGATAAAGACTATTTGAAAGTAACTCTTGACCAAGATGAAGCCACTGAAAGTACCGTGGACTCAGATGAAGACACTGGGCATGATTTTGGGGATTCTGATGAAGACTCTGGATCCAGCTCTAGCAGCGAATCGGAAGAGGAATCATCTGAAGAGGACGATGATGAGGAAGACTCTGACAGTGATGAAAGTGGTAGCCTGTCAAAGAGCTCATCTACACAAAGTTCATTCAGCAAGTCTGGGACCAGTGAGTCCAGCAGTAGAAGAAGCACTGAAAGGTCAAGTGTAAGAAGTAGGGGAGGGAGCTCTCGTGGCAAAGGGAGGCGATCCAGCCAGAAATCAAATATTAGCACTAATGCATCAAGTAGTGACAGGGACACGAGCTACAGGAAAACTTCAGGATCCAGCTATAAGAGTAAAACCTCCTCTGCCAGCCTTGACATTGAAGACACAATAGAGGAGGTGTCAGAAGAAGATGAACAAGTGGACATGGAGCAAGACAGTGCGAGCCCCAAGGGAGTGGCAGTTAATTCAAAAAAGGCTGTTTCAGAAGCACCTGCCAATGCAAAAACTGCTGCTACTAAAGAAGACAAGAGAGGAAAATCAGCTAGTAATGGTGACAATAGTGCAGATGGAGGCACAGAAGAGGCTGAGACAGATGCTAGTGAGAGGGAGGAAACTGTCAGTAAGCATGAATCTTCTTGCCTAGAAAGTGAAATTAGTGTTACTTCCAAAGGGACAAAAAGCACAGCTAGTGCCACCACTAGTAAAACTGATACTGAGAATCACAGTTCTGACAGCAACATGAAAAGGAAACAAATAAGAAAAAAGCCCCAGGAAAACAGTCAGTCTCAGTCAGATGGGACCCTGGATACTGGTGTTACGGAGACAGAGACTACTGGTGATTCCACATCCTTTTAAAAAGGACCAAGAGTAGGTGGATGTTTTGCAGTAAGGGGTGCTCTTGTTTGCTGTGCCTTCTGTGTGGACTTTCCTAATCAACAGGCTTTTGACTACAGACAGGCAAAAAAAAGGGAAATGTCAGAGCTTCTTGCTTTAGCATTTGAACCCTAAGGACAGAAACACAGAAAACCCAACTAATGTCATTCCTCTGGGAGATGATTCTTGGTGGTGGATTTAGAAGGATTAATTTTCACTGAGCAGTGACAGGAGGAAGTACATCTTTTTTTTCTCTGCTAATTTCAATAATGTAGGTAGAGGCATTGCATTGATTCTTAGATTTAATCCTTCCTGCATTATGCACATTGGGAAGCAAAGTAACTTGGCATTTTACATTGATGGAAAGCTTGAGGAGCCTGGGGGCACAGACCTGTTAAGGGCCCTGTGTTAATGCAGGTAATGTCTGCCACCAAATGGAACACTGCAGGAAGGAAAAGGGGCAAAAGACAGTTTAGGGAAGAACAAGAATGATGACAGGGATGAAAACACCATACATGGTTTCAGTGTCTGTTCCCCTCCCATACAGCATGTGCTCATCTTCAAAGGAGTTTTCTGCTGTAAACATCAGTCCTGTTTGCAGGGAGGAAAAGTGAAATGGAAGCAAAGCAACACTCCCAGAACTGCGGAGCATTACTAGCAGAGCTGGGATTAAACCCTTTCTGGAGCTTGAGATTCAGGTTTTCAGGTACCAGTGGTATATAAAACAGGAATGAAGAGGCAGGTGTACAAAGTGAGCTCAGTCAGAAAAGGCAATGGATTCCATGTTCCAACCTCTGCCCTTCCCACATAACAGCACAGTGACATTATCCTTTGGTTTTAAATATCTCTTTAAAAGTTTGAGATGTGTCACGGGAAGGCAGTGCTGAAGGTGACCATCACCTCTCTTCTATATTTTGGTGTCTACCCTTTGAAACGTAGTAAACTGGAGGCAGAGACAGAGAAGTCTGGCAGCACTTTTGCTAGCAGGGCTGTGCTCAGAATGAGAAGGACTGTGTAGAAAGGACTGCTGTCACTGACAGCACAAGTGACCTGCATGATGTTTTCATGCAAGCAGCAACCTCTGCATGATGTGCTTCCTCATGGAGCTCTCACCCCTGCTGTCAGCACAGGGAGTGTGCAAGCTCTGACTACACACAAACTGTCTGCTCAATTGCACTGGTGTCAGCAGCCACAGAGCTGCTTCTCAACCACTAGATTTATCCAGCTACGCCATAAGAAGCCTAAATAAAATTAAAGCTTCAAGCCAGTATTGGCATAGCCTTGTGACTGAGTACATTAAAGCTAGTACAAATTCTAGCATATGCACCAAAGCTCTGCCAGGAAGTCTCTGTTAGATGAGTAGAGAGGAATGTTTGCATTTTTAAGCTTCTTGAGCCTGCTGTGGAGTTATCCTGGCAGGGCAATCAGTGTTGAGCTGCATAGCATGATACCAGCTTTTCAACTGCTGTCTTGAATTCCAGTTGAAATGTGAACTAGTTTTATGATCACTTACCTGCTTGTTTCTATTCCCATATAGCACAAAGTTGTAGCCTCACACAGTTACAAAGTTTTAACTTAAATCCCATTTAAACTTTTCACCCACCTGAGTATATTTGTGTTAAGAAAATCGTATGTCTTTATCAGGAACAAAAGAACAGGCATCTAAGTAACTGTACAAAACATGTCAAAAACTGAAGAGTAATTATCACTTGTTTGTACCTTGCATGAGTTTCTTTCTCTAAAAAACTGACTTTTCTTGCATGTATGTGCATGTGTTGCAGTGGGAGTTAACTAGGATGGTATCTGCTGCCTTAGTGAACTAACAGTTTTCTCATCATTTGTTCAGGAATGATTGTAGCTTGTTTCAGTGTAGTGCAAGGAGGCAGTTCTTTTTAAAATGATCAATTATAAATTAAAGTACATAAAGGGACTTGTGTGATCACTGTTAGTACCAAGTCACAGCAACATGGACGTTGTTTACATTAACTCTTCAAAACATTTATAAATTATATAAAATCTAAAATCTCATTTCTCCCCTACTTTCCATTTAATAGCAAAAGCATCTCCATTGATTCCACCCCACTGGAGCTGGCACAAAGCCTTTTATCAAGCTTTTCTTTTTCAAACAATTTGGCCGATGTTGTGCCTGAGAATTTCCCTTGTGAAGGTGCCATGGTCTTTTTATGACTGATCTGTTGTGCATATAAACCAGACCTGCTCAAGGCCACTGGATTTCCAATGGAGTAATGCTCTGGAATAAAACTCCTAAGGCCCTCCTAGCATTTACCCATTAGTACAATAGTTTCTTAGAAGTATCACTTACACAGTGGCTTCACCATTGATTCTTTCCAGCTCCTGTTAGACGGGTAATTAATCTAGTTGGTGTTCATCTCTATTTGTAAGACAGCCTGAGACATTGCTTTATCAAAATATGACTGGCTTACCAATACCATGATTTACAGAAGTTTTCTTTCAGCAAGTGAGGTCTCCATTCTCAGAGTTCTCCATAGATGGGGCACTTTGACATAATGGGAACACAGCTGAAGGCATCTTAAAATAGAATAACAAAATGGTCACCACTTTCCAAACCTGCAGAAAAAAAACATGACAGTTTTCATACACTATCTGACTGACATTTTGCAGTTCATGAGTTTATCTTTCTTAGAACTTTTTAGTACAAAAACCTGTTGGTGTTTTCAGGCATTAGGTGTGTATGATAGTGACAGAGAGTGGTGATCAAAACAAGAAATACCCGTGTGCAGCCTCAGAGGAAGGGTACAAAGGACTATGCTAATAAAAATTCATAGGAGTGTCTAGATGAAAGACAAATAACAGATAAGGGCAGGAAATTGTAAGAAATAGTGCTGAGATTTAATAACATCTCTGTCTGTTGTCACACAGTGGGCCAGGAAGAAAAGGATCAAGTTGGTAGTTGACCCGGAGTACGAGACCAGCTCCACTGGAGAAGACAGCGCTCCCGACTCCAGCCAGAGGAACCGCCTTAACAACCCCAGCATTCAGAACAACATCAATGGCAACATCTACATTGCTCAGAATGGCTCTGTTGTCAGAACCCGTCGTGTTTGCCTCGGGAATAATTTAAAAGCCACCTCCCCAGTGAGGCTGGGGAAACAGTTCAAGAAACTGGACAAACTTGCAGTGACGCACGAGGAGAATGTCCCACTGAACACGTTGTCAAAGGGACCATCCTCTAGTGACAAAATGAACGCAAGACCTTGCAGTGTCTCATTTGCTTCCTCTACTATAGGGGCTGAAAATTTAGTAGCAAAGCCAGGGGGCTCCAAAATGAAAAGCACAGAAGAGCAGGAATCGGTTGTCAATAACGAGAACGTCAAAGAGCCCCTGGAGTCGCACAGTGAACACACACAGTCAGATGAAGAGGAGCTCTGGATGGGCCCCTGGAACAACCTTCACATACCAATGACAAAACTGTGATTTTATTGGTTTATTTTATTTTATTTTTAATTTTAATTTTTACTTCAGTTTATAATAAACTGCGCTTTTTATTGTCACTGAGGACAATGGATGGGATTTGTATTGTGCACATCCATGTTACCCACCAGGCAACATGCTTTAAGGTTTGAAAACAAAACTTGCACTCACATTTGTACCAATTAATTGTCCTCCCCAACAACTCTTTTGACAGGCTCCCATTTCACTGAACAATACTTCATTTAAATTAATTAGGTTTTTTGGCTCTTGATTTCTTGTTTAATAAACAGTAAACTACTAATAAATGCACAGCAACATTTGGTTACCTTTTCAGACAGTTCTATACATGCCTAGCTTGTTTTTCTGTATGGTACTTGTGGCTATACTGTTTAGATTTGGAAATTGTCTATTTATGTTCAAGATTTATATCCAGAAATCTTGATTCTGAACTCAGAGTAATAAATTAAAAATAAATCCATGAAAGTCAATGGAGCAAATCCGTGGCTGGCTTAAATCTAAGTAACAGTACCAAAGTCAATAGTGAGTACCCAGTTTGTGCAAGGAGGAGATCACTCAGCACCCAGCTGAGAGTGGAATCAGGGTTAGCACTGTGACACAGAGAAGTGAACAGAAGATGAAATAAGATAGAAATTGCAAAGAGGAAGGAAATGAGCAGCAATTAATCTTATTCAGAGTTACCTGGCCGTGGTTTGTTCATTTTGGGTTTTGTACATTAGCTCGTTCCAATTTTCTTCTCTAGTCAATTCTTCATCTTTTCATCTCTTCCCACATCACTTCTGTTTTCTTCTTTATCTGGTCTTTAGCTCTGCTTTTTATGCTCCATCAATAATTGTCATCCTATGGCTATATTCCTCCAAAATAAACCAGGATGATACACGAGTCTGTGCGATAGAAAGAGTTGTTAAAGGGTAATTAATAGGAAGGGGATGGGTACATTTTCAAGCCCAGCTAGCTGCTGGGTTAAATGGTACAATCACCATTCCACTCCAATAGTGTTGAACATAAACCTGCTGAAAAGACAAATGATCATGGGGAAGAGGATAAGAAGTGAATATTTTACGAGTCTCATCTGCATAAATGGATCTGTGAAGGTCATAGGGTGCCAGAACACACACAGAGAATCGTTTCCAAAACTTTATCACTTGTGAAACACACTACATACATTTTGGCTTTTAATTTGTAGTTGTACCTCAAAGTTGTGAGTGTTACAGCTTGAATAACAGGGAGCTGAGAAATGCCACAGTTGGTAGTCACCAAGTAATGCCTAGAAGACACCAGCAGTACAGAGCAAAATTGTTTTTTCTCTGATGTGACACAGGAAAGAAAAGAAGGAGATAAATGATCACAGGAGAAAAGTGTCCTGTTGTATTATGGAAGTTTTTTTTCAGGGTAAGATCAAACTAGTTGGGAGAAAAATGTGGATCCCTCGAGAAAGATAGAAAGGGTCAACAGATAAATGTGTGCAATTAGTAACCAAATGATTTGCTTAATAATTCTTTCCCTGGTGCTGTAGTGGAGTTTCACTACAAGAGCTGAATGTCCTGCTCTGACAGTCAGGGGGTTTCTGCTGCTGTGCTTCTGCTTGCTTTCTTTCCCCTCCCACAGGCTGTGAGGTTCCTCAGAATGTCTGTTTTCAGAAGCTGTTTGCATGTTCTGCTGATGTAAATGTGACATTTCTGTCAAATACCTCCTTTTCCAGCTGAGGTTTCTGACCAAATATTTTGAGAGCTGGTGCTTGTTTTTAGGCATGAGAAATGCAATGCAGCCCACCCTGCAAGGGGGGGGGAAAGAAATCAGGTGATGAGGTTTTTCTTTCTCCTGACTCTATTATCTTGGCATATTTGCACTTGGTACCTAACAAAAAATGGTTGGAGTGCAGCTGGAGCCTGAGTATACAGATAAGAATGATGGAAGGGAAGAAAAAAGTCTATTTTTTGAAGTAACTAGTAAAATGTTTCATTTTAACCCTGTTTAAGATACTGTTATTATTTCACGACATCATTTTTATTGCAAGATCTGTCAGTTCTTACTAAACAATTCAGTAACATCAAATATCCTTTTTAGAGAAACATTTTCTCCTCTCTGCTCTGTTTTTTGAGCAAATAAAAAAAAAAAAGTTAAAATAATTGTTTCTGTTTCTAGACACCTGCAGCTTTTCCAGCTTCAGCTTTAACTCTGAAGGATTGTCAAGCCTGACATTGGTGGTCTAGCTTTTGGAAGACAAAACCTGTCAATACTGTCTCCCTGGTGCTGTCCAAGCACTCAGAACCTTTTCCACAGAGCAAGAAGCATAAGATTCAGTAAGAAATGTCAATAAGCAATTTCACTTTCTAAGCAATGGGTGGGGTTTTAGCTAAAGTTATAGTGACTTTCAGAGCCTTCAATACTGTTGGCAGAGAGGCTTTGTGAAATCTTCCACAGGGGCAGAAGATTCTGGGGAGTATTCTTTCTTTTTTCTTTTCTGTGATGGAATACTGTAAATCAATACAGAATTCCAGCTGGCTTTGTTTGGGGATGCCATGCAGTAAATTAATACAGGTTTTGGTCTGTGAGCAGGCAGTGGGTGCCAAAACCCACAGCAATAACACTCCAGGCTGATACAGTAAAAAAAACAGGTCACTAACGTTTGGGAATTTTCCTTTGGGAATTGAAGTATTAGCATGGCTTTGGTGGATGCAGTAAGTAGAACAAAGTACCTGGGTCTTGGGATTTAATGTATGGCTACTGAACCACTGGAATTTGTAAAGGTCTGAGCATTTTTGCCTGGGTGGCAGAATGGCTCACTGGCTGACCCACCAAGGTGATGTTCATTGCTCCTAATGCTGGTTTGATTTGTACATCCCTCCAAGCAGGCACTGATGGTTTGGGGGTTTAGTACAGCATCTTCTGTGTAAGCAAGGATCAAATAACCAATGTGGTGGCTGTAGAAGGGCAGAACAAATTGCCAGGAGAAAAACAGAAACAACTCTTTTCCTTTGTTAAGGTATGTACTACAATGAGCAAGTCTGCAAAGAAAGCCCTACTGATCATTCAGGGACTGGTTAGGAAGCTTAAACTATTGATGCATTAGCCCTTGCACCCAGGATCTGCCTGAGTGGGGAAAGGACTGGGCAGCTGTGGAGGTGCTTTGTGTGTCCATCTTGGTGCCATCTAGACACCTGCAGCTTTTCCAGCTTCAGCTTTAACTCTGAAGGATTGTCAAGCCTGACATTGGTGGTCTAGCTTTTGGAAGACAAAACCTGTCAATACTGTCTCCCTGGTGCTGTCCAAGCACTCAGAACCTTTTCCACAGAGCAAGAAGCATAAGATTCAGTAAGAAATGTCAATAAGCAATTTCACTTTCTAAGCAATGGGTGGGGTTTTAGCTAAAGTTATAGTGACTTTCAGAGCCTTCAATACTGTTGGCAGAGAGGCTTTGTGAAATCTTCCACAGGGGCAGAAGATTCTGGGGAGTATTCTTTCTTTTTTCTTTTCTGTGATGGAATACTGTAAATCAATACAGAATTCCAGCTGGCTTTGTTTGGGGATGCCATGCAGTAAATTAATACAGGTTTTGGTCTGTGAGCAGGCAGTGGGTGCCAAAACCCACAGCAATAACACTCCAGGCTGATACAGTAAAAAAAACAGGTCACTAACGTTTGGGAATTTTCCTTTGGGAATTGAAGTATTAGCATGGCTTTGGTGGATGCAGTAAGTAGAACAAAGTACCTGGGTCTTGGGATTTAATGTATGGCTACTGAACCACTGGAATTTGTAAAGGTCTGAGCATTTTTGCCTGGGTGGCAGAATGGCTCACTGGCTGACCCACCAAGGTGATGTTCATTGCTCCTAATGCTGGTTTGATTTGTACATCCCTCCAAGCAGGCACTGATGGTTTGGGGGTTTAGTACAGCATCTTCTGTGTAAGCAAGGATCAAATAACCAATGTGGTGGCTGTAGAAGGGCAGAACAAATTGCCAGGAGAAAAACAGAAACAACTCTTTTCCTTTGTTAAGGTATGTACTACAATGAGCAAGTCTGCAAAGAAAGCCTTACTGATCATTCAGGGACTGGTTAGGAAGCTTAAACTATTGATGCATTAGCCCTTGCACCCAGGATCTGCCTGAGTGGGGAAAGGACTGGGCAGCTGTGGAGGTGCTTTGTGTGTCCATCTTGGTGCCATCACAATGTGATCACTCAGCATCTCCTGGATTCAATCCTTCTGGAACCTGGTTTTGTAGCTGAAAAACTTGTCCAGTCAGAAAATGGAAGAGATGGGGGGGGGAGGGATCCTAATATTTATCAATGGGAGAACAGCATCAATCTGTCACAATTTCAGCTTACATGGTACATGTAGTGGGAACTGGGTATTCTGGGCCTGTCACAGCCATGAAACTGCTCTCTGAAAAAAGTACCCGCCCATGGGGGAATACAGATTGATACTTTTAAAAGTCTCTAATAGATCACAGCCATGGTGGTTCTGGTTTCTTGTTGTGCTCATCTCCAGGTTGCTTCTATGTTGTGATCTTCATGGTTGAGAAGGGGGTTCTCCTTTTTACATCTGTTTCTCTCTAGCAAATGTCAGTTGTAACTCAAAACTTTATGTAATTAAGTACACTTTGCAGCTGGAGGTGATAAATCTTACCTTGTAAGATTTACAGTTGGGCAGCAAATGAAGGTATAAATTGGAATGCTTTGCTCTTCAAGCCCTAGTGGTGGCAGTGCAGAGACTCACAGCTGGCCAGAAATGTTACTGGTGGCAGCTGACCCTTCAAAAGCTTCATGCAGAAATGGTGACTTCAACTTACTGTTTTTACTGTCTCATTGTTAAAAACCTGAGAAGGACTTGCATTTATCAAGCACTATTGATAAACCACAAGGTTTGATAAACTGAAGGAATGGTGCCATTTATCAAATTAATTTTGAAGGCAGCCAGTTCTCAAAAGCCCATCAGATGAGGACTGAGGAGTATTACCTTTTTTTCTTTATTACTGGAAGAAGAGAGTTTCAGTAATTTCACTGATCAAATGATAAAGCTGTAGCACAGGCCTGGATCAATGGTGTAGCAACAACATGAGAAGAACAAGGTAATTTGCTCAAAGCACAACAAACCTGAAGCTTTCAGGGTGGCACCAGCCTGGGGAGCTGAAATGCAGTGGATTGTTCAAGCACTGACTGTTGCTCTTTACCAGTACAGGATAAAATCATGTTGTCCCTTTCATGGGTCACCCAACAGGAGTAACACCTGCTTGGAAACAGTAAGTGGTTCTAGCCCAAGGAGGGTTAATTTCTGTGCTCTCAACCTGGCAAGGAGCAGCAGTTTCCAGAGAGAGCTGCAGGAACCACACAGACCAAATCTACCACAGCACTGTGGGAAGAAACGTGGAGACCCCTGGAGTTACCATGCTTTGTGTATTCCTGTAAGTTTTAGCCAGTATTTGGCTTTCAGGAGGTCGCACTGAAATTCCAGCTCCAGACAG